TTTATAACATATTTATGTTATATTTATATATATATATATATATATATATATATATATATATACTGACCAGTACCAAGATGTGTTAGCGCTTCAGAATACTAGGTGCTGCAAGCTTGGGTGTGCGGGTGATGTAATGGATAATGGCTCGGAATTGTTAATTGGAGAGCCGAGTTCCAATTCCCATTGAGTTCGTTATATTCACTTATGCACAAATACTCTTGGGATAGGCATGAACCCATTTCTTCTCGTCCAAGTATGGCTTAATTAGTTAGACTTGTATCACGAAGCCATTATTATCTCCACAAAAAGGTATTCTTACAGTCTAAAAATATTTTCTGGTTTTAAATAACCTGCAATGGGTCGATAAGCCATCAAAAACAAATCAAAAGCTAATCTTTCCTTTAGAATTCTGAACACTACCCAAATGAATTTTGAAATGCGCTGATTTAAATGTTCAGATTAACATAACAAATAAATGGAAACTCATGAAGCAATAACAACAGTTTAGGCCAAACTGACAAATAATACAAAAAAAAAAAAAAGATCCTACTGCAAAATAAAAATCCATCTAGAAAAGGCTATTTAAGTATTCAACACAGCTCATGATGAATATATCACTTCAGCCGGCAAGTCAACTTTTTTGCCCCGACAAATTTCAGGCAGAAGATAATTTTTTTAATTTAGATAACTTTCGATGAGTGACATAAAATATATTATTTTCCCATCTTTTCTAATAAACAAATTTTCGTTCGCACTTATTTTAAGTGGTTTTCTATTATCATTTTATAGTTACCATTCGAATCATCCACACCTCTCGGTTTGCGGTTATTAAACTTCCACATTCCTTCACCCTAACCCCCGCTTAACACCACTTTAAGATGTAGCCAATTTGAAATTCCCCAAAGTACTGGCTTATGACATAATACATGATCCACGTAAGTGGTTTCGCCTATGAACATCTCCACGCTAGGTTAGTTCCTATACCAGAGGAAAGTCGTCATTGTCTTCTTCTTCTTCTTCTTCTTCTTCTTCTTCTTCTTCTTCTTTTCATTTATATTCTCTAAATATTTTAGTCATATTCTAACTTTGTTCTCTTCTTTATCCACATCATCCTTTTTATTTCTTCTTCTTCTTCTTCTTCTTCTTCTTCTTCTTTTTCTTCTTCTTCTTCTTCTTCTTCTTCTTCTTCTTTTCATTTATATTCTCTAAATATTCACATCTTTATTTTCTTTATTCACATCATCCTTTTTATTTCTTCTTCTTTTTCTTCTTCTTTTTCTTCTTCTTCTTTTCATTTATATTCTCTAAATATTTTAGTCATATTCTAACTTCGTCTTATTCTCTCCTTCGTCTACATCATCCTTTCTTTTCTTCTTCTTCTTCTTCTTCTTCTTCTTCTTCTTCTTCTTCTTCTTCTTCATCCTGTTCTTCTTGGTATTAGTATTAATATTGTTGTTGTTGTTGTTGTTTCTGTTTTTGTTTTTGTTCTTGTTGAGTGAGAGGGCATCACACCACAAAGTTACGTAGTGGTACAAATGTACTGAAACCAATATATCCATCATGACACTCAGCCTGATAAGTATATCCCAAGCACATGCATCACAGCCAAAAGTGCGCGAAATTTTAATATTTTTTTTTCATAAAAGCAAGCCATAAATTTTCAGCTGATGAATCCCGTGAAGATGAGTAACTCGGTCCGCTAAGACGGTTTCCCGTCGAGGTTGTTCCCAAAAATCTATATTTGACTGCAACATCGTCTTGACAACCTCAAACTTCAAACAATATCAACCCTCTCGTCACTCACAGTCATGATGCGCCCAAACACTCCTGTACATGAACATAGATGCACAATATGCCAGCCTCTATAGGACTACGACAACTGGTTATGCCAAAAGACAGACAAATCCGTGTTATTAAAATGGGATATTTAGTGTAGACTGTTATAATTCACCATGGCAAAACAGAACTCCGATCAATTCAGATCAGAAACTGTGTGAGCCAAGCCTGCTGTCGCATCAGGATTGGTTTATTATTATTATTATTATTATTATTTTTATTTTCTTTGATTTCTGGCGTTTACACATTTCTTTCCGGGTCCCCCAAGGGACCTAAGGTTAGAAATGGCATCATGACACTTTCCACGGACAAAAAAAAAAAAAAAAAATTCATGGATAAAGCTCTTCGTAAAGTGTGGGCTGTACTTGTCAGAACAATTTTTTGTATCTCCTTGAGGCATGGACTTCCAGGAATCTCTTCAATTAGTCTACTGCAATCTTTTCCAACCAGTCCTAGGGCTCCAACTACAACAGGGATTGTTGATGTTCCCATATGCCACATTTTCGAGATTTCTGTTTCAAGGTCCTTGTATTTTGACAACTTTTTGAATATCTTCAAAGATACATTGCAGTCAGCAGGGACTGCCATATCAATAAGGAGGCACCGTTTTTGTTTGTGGTCTTTAATAACAATATCTGGGCTGTCAGTGTGTATTGTGTAGTCCCATAGAATTGTAACAGGTCCTATCATTTCTTTTTATTTCTGGTGTGTAATCATTTCTTCCCGGGAACCGACCAGAGACCTAAGGTCAGAAATGGCATCATGATATTTCTACAAAGCAATTTAAAAAAAGCAAAACGCGCACACATGCACGCATGCACACACACATATACACGCGCACACACACATATTTTACATAGATAAAGCCCTTCGTAAGGTGAGGGCTGTACTCGTGAGAACAGTTTTTATTTATTTAAGGCATAGGCTACCAGGAACCCCTTCAATGAGTCTACTGGAATCTTTCCCAACCATTCTGGGGGCTACTAGTACAACAGGAATTTTTGATGTCATCATGTGCCACATTTTTGAGATTTCGATATCTAGGTCCTTGTATTTTGATAGTTTTTTTTAAAGATCTTCAAAGATATATTGCAGTCTGCAGGGACTTCTATGTCAATAAGAAGGCACATTTTGTCATTGCGATCTCTAATAACGATGTCTAGGTGATTACCGTTGATTGTAATTTTTGTGTGTATTGTGGAGTCCCAAAAAATTGTTACAGGTCCTTTTCTACGTAACTGGGTATGAATGGTGTTCATACCAATTCCTTTCCGTAGAAGATGAGGATTTTCCAGTGCAGATATTGACCCATTCTGTCATGCCGTGTTTTATATTCAGGGAGTGCCAATACCGTGCAACCAGATACAAGATGGACAACTATTTCTGGATATTTATCGCAGAATCTGCATTTTGGGCTAACACAATTTTTCAGTATATGTGCTTGATAATTTCTAGTTAGCAAGCATTGATCCTCTGCAGCAAGAATAAACCTTTCGGTTTCAGCTTTTAACCCTGCACTAGGTAACGACTGATGGCTACGGGGTTTGTGTATATCTGCTTTTTTGGTACGGTTTATCTTGCCATCGTTTTTGTATCTGATCGGTTGCATTTGCTTTTGCATTCTATTTTCAGTATTTTGCACCTGCGGCCGGTGTATTATGCTTTACTTGCATTTCTTCACCCATTTGAAACTCTATTTTGAACTTGTTGGCTTCCTTTATTACTTAGTAAAGTCGCTTACTACTTTCATGTTCTTTGACACATGGCATCATCCAGTCTTCTGTAGTCTCAAGGTATATTTGAAGGTCAATTATTATTATTATTATTATTATTATTATTATTAGTAGTAGTAGTAGTAGTAGTAGTAGTAGTGCTGTTGTTAAAGTAAGATCTTTCAATGCGGGTGTTCGCTATCAAAGAAAGAAATTAAGACAAAAGAAATTAAGAAAGAAAAGAAAGTAAATCACAGTATCCAATTAATAAAGGAAAGAATGAACACGGGCATGAAAAAAGAAAGAAAGAAAGAAAGAAAGAGCAAAAGAAAGAAAGAAAGAAAGAACGAAGGAAGAAATTAAGAAAGAAAAGAAAGTAAATCGCAATATCCAATTAATAAAAGAAAGAAAAAACACGAAAAATAAAACAGAAAGAATAGAAGAAAGAAAAAAAGAAGAATACTGAGAAAAGAAAGAAGAAAAGAAAGAAAAAAGTAAAGTATAATATCCAATTAAAAAAAGGAAAGAAAGAACACGAGAAAGAAAGAAAGACAAAAAGAAAAGAAAAACAAAAATAAAAAGAGTGAAAAATAAGTATAAAGAAATAAACGTGTAAATCATTAGTAAATATCAAAGAAAGGAAATAGCCCGCAATATCCAAAATAAAAAAAAAGAAAAAAGGATAAATAAAAGAAAAAATAGGACGATACGTCATAATAGAAAAGGAAAGAGGAAAATCAGAAAAAAATCGAAGAATTCTAAATCGCATTGAGAGAGAAACATTTCCGAGTCTTTGTTCGCAGCTTTTAATGGAATAGAAAAATGTCAGGGAAGAATTAAGCAAAAGCGAAAATCACAGATGCAGAAAGAAAATTGATGTCAAAACGGAAAGATTGTCAGCGGAACAATCAAAAAGCAGACGTTCATGTTTAAACAAACATACACAACCGCAAACAGGACAACAAAGGCAACAAGTCATAAGGATAAAGAAAGTAAGGAGATTAATGATATTCATATGACAAGACTAATGGAATAATTTTCACCATCTGCGAAGAGTCATATTAAGAAAAGAAAAAAATGAGAGTGATGAGAAAGGAAATACAGGAAATCTAGGGAGAGGTGGACTTGTAAGAAAGAAAGAAAGAAAGAAAAAAGAAAGAAAGAAAAAAGAAAGAAAGAAAAAAAAAGAACCAAGCAAACAAACAAACAAACAAAAAAACAAAGACGTTTTCTGTAAAAGTAAGGAAAATAAGGAAGAAAATAAATAAGGAAAAGTTAAAAGCAATAAGAAGAAAAAAGAAAGCAAAAAGGAGAAGGAAACATTAAAAAGAGAAAGTAAATAATCAAAAAAGAAAAAAAAGAAAGAAAGAACGAAAGAAAGAAAGAATGAAAGAAAACAACAAATAAACAAACCATTTTAAAATCAAGCAAAATAGAAATAAACACGAAAAATTAAAAAAATGGAAATGTAAAATCAAGTGAAAAATGCAAATTAGCAAAGAGAAAAGAGAGGGGGAAGAAAAAGAGTAAGAAATCAAATAAGCAAAAAAGAAAGAAACAAACAAACAAAATAAGTAACAGCAAAGAAAATATAAGAAGGAAGAGAAAAGCGAATAAACATGCGAATCTCAAAGAAAGAAAGAAAGAAAGAAAGAAAGAAAGAAAGAAAGAAAGAAAGAAAAGGATAAGACATAATGATAGAAACACAATGAGAAAGAAAGAAAGAAAGAAAGAAAGAAAGAAAGAAAGAAAGAAAGGAAGAAAGAAAGAAAGAAAGAAAGAAAGAAAGAAAAAAAAATAGTAATTCACCGGACGAAAAATAATTAAAAATAGAATTGCACTAAGTTTGAACAAGTGGCAAGTTAACCTACAAGAGAGTGTGGTGTATGTATGGCCAATGTAAGAATTTAATATTGTTTCATGATTATTGCATATTATATGATTAAAGATTATATGATTAATGCATATCATTACAACACAAACAACCACAATATAACTGTCAATATGAACAAAAATATTAGTAGATAATACTAAAATAGTATACAACAACTGGTAGTAGGAAAAGCTGAAAATTCTAGATCTCATTATTATACAAAATAAAAAACCGACTTTAGAAAAAAATATTTTTTGCGACAAGAGAGTGAGTATGATATATTAAATATGTGTAGATATAATAATAATAATAATAATAATAATAATAATAATAATAATAAATTGAATTTTTCAGAAATTGTTATGAACCCCAAGCAAACCCGGTTACGAAGATAGGACCTATAACATTTTTATTGGACTACACAATACACACAGACAGAATAATCAAAGCTAACCGCCCGGATATTGTTATTAGAGACCGGAAACAAAAAAAAGTGCCTCCTTTTCGACATGGCGGTCCCTGAAGACTGCAATGTATCTTTCAACATCTTCAAAAAGCTATCAAAATACAAGGACCTTGAAATCGAAATCTCAAAAATGTGGCACATGTGAACATCAACAATCCCTGTTTTATTTGGATCCCTCGGATTGATTGAAAAGGATTGCAATAGACTCATTGAAGGGATTCCTGGTAGCCATGCCTTAAAGAAATACAAAACAAAATTGTTCTTACGAAAGGCTTTATCTATGTAAAATATGTTGTTTTTTTTGTTTTGTTTTTTTAATTGGTCAGTGGAAAATGTCATGATGTCATTTCTAATTTTAGGTCTCTGGACAGAACCTGGAAAGAAATGTGTACACATCAGAAAACAAAGGAAATAATAATAATGATAATAATATTCTCAAAAATATGGCACATGGGGACATCAACCACTCCAGTTGTATTTGGAGCCTCGGAGATTTAATTACTTGAATTCTAATTTTTTCCACATCAATTTTATTAAAACGTCTCTTTTATTTAATATTAGGAAAAATACATACACTCCCCGTCAACTATTAAGACACCCTGCGTATTAGGCAATTAAGGGTGCTCTACTGATGATTTTTGACGGGTACTACGCTAATATAAATCAAGGAGCGTAAAGTTACGTCAAGGTTAAAACTGCTACAATATTCAATCTCAATGGGCCTACGGCCACTCCGTGTTGAAAACCTGTTCTCCTACGATCACCGTAGTTAAGCAACTCCGAGACTGGTTAGTACCAAGATGGATGACCGCTTTTTTTTTTTTATAGTGATGTTCAGCTTTTACAGGACCCGAGAACCACTCGAGATAGAGGGTTACAAGGTAAGCGGCATAGTTTATAGGGTTATGTGTGGAAGATAACGGTTAACCATAGACTTGAAGAAGTTAAGATTATAATGATCGGGAAAGCATCCTCTTGAGAGTCGGTTCCATAAGGCAGTGGTCCGTGTGAAGAAGTTGCTTAAGTAGAACATACATGTCACCATATGAAGGGAATGGGGGTTTTTCGCTAAAATGAGTGTAGTTTGTGAATACCTTTTTGATCTATGGCGAGAAGGATTTCGCTTAAAAGACACTGTTCAGATCTTGCTTCATCGGCAAAACTTCATCGTGACCGAGTTGGTTAAAGCACGTTGGATAAGGCAAGTCGGATCTAACGACGTTTTCTCTCTGCCCTGAGGTACGCAGGTTCGTGACCTGCCAACGAGTGCATGTTTTTCTTTATTAAGTTTTCTCGAATATTCAAACCGACAGTCATAAATAAATAGACTTTCATAAACAAACGGAGAATACTACTTTTATAGATTTAATTAATGCACTCATGGAACGATAAACTACGACACAACTGCTAATAATTCAACAACATGTCGGTTGGTACCAAATTTGTTGCATGTCACTTTATTTAAATATAGCATGATATTTTGGATATTTTTCTCTTAAAATTGAAAATATTGCGATGTTTACTTCAATTTCGGAGAAATTATTTCAAACTAATTTCCGTGCGAAATCGGTTCGTATTAAAGTGAATGCATACGTGCACTAAATAATTCAAATTTTTATTCACGGATACACGCATGCGCGAGCCTTGGTAATTTTAAAGGCAATAAAAATGGACGAAAAAATGTATTCCGAACAGTCCTTTCTACTACTGTTTCATTTGGAACTAATTTTCGATGTTGTTAAAGCTTGAAAAGGCCTAATTACGCGCGAAATACAGGGTGAAACACGGAAAGCAAACAGTCATTTTTTTTTTTTTTTACGTCTATTTATTTTTAAGGCCTCCAGTTATTTCTGGAGAGATTAAATTTCGTTTCATTGAAAAAAAATAATTGAAAGCAGAGAATTAAACAATAAAAACAAATTGAAAAAATAAGTTAGAATAGTTTTTCCAATTAAAATATAAAATTAGGGTAATATTTGAATGCCCCCAATTCAAAACTGAAAATGTATATAAAAAATAACAATCAAACAAAAAAGCAGAAGATAAAAAGAGAAAAAATATAGGAAAACGAGTTATCAAGAATGAAACAGAAAGACGAAGAGAAGAAGAGAAAAGAAAAGGACTAACAATTGAAAAATACGACGATCACAGAAAAAAGAGAGAGGAAAAATTAATGAAAATAAAAAGAAGGAAATAGAAGTTAAATAGAAAGAAAGAAAGAAAGAAAGAAAGAAAGAAAGATAGAAAGAAAGAAAAGAAGAAAGACAAGCAATAATTGCAGAAAAGAAAGTCAAGTAAATACTATAAGAGAAAATAAAAAAGATAAAGAAAGATAGAAAGAAAGAAAGAAAGAAAGAAAGACTGCGGAAAAGAAAGGAAAGAAAGTAAATACTATAAGAGTAAAATAAAAAAGATAAAAGAAAGATAAAATTAAGCACGAAAGAAAGAAAGAAAGAAAGAAAGAAAGAAAGGCACAAACAATAATTGCGGAAAAGAAAGTCAAGTAAACACTATAAGAGAAAATAAAAAAAGATAAAGAAAGTAGAAAGTAAACAACTGAGAAAGGAAGAAAGAAAGAAAGGAAGAAAGAAAGAAAGAAAAAGAAAGAAAGAGTGTGGAAAATAAAGAAAGGCAAGTAAATACTATAAGAGAAAAATAAAAAGATAAAAGAAAGTACAGAAAAGTAAACAACTAAAGAAAGATTGAAAGAAAGAAAGAAAGAAAGAAAGAAAGAAAGAAAGAAAAGAAAGAAAGACAAGCAATAATTGCGGAAAAGAAAGTCAAGTAAATACTATAAGAGAAAATAAAAAAGATAAAGAAAGTAGAAAGAAAGAAAGAAAGAAAGAAAGACTGCGGAAAAGAAAGGAAAGAAAGTAAATACTATAAGAGTAAAATAAAAAAGAGAAAGAAAGAAAGAAAGAAAGAAAGAAAGAAAGAAAGAAAGAAAAAGTGTGGAAAAGAAAGGAAAGAAAGTAAATACTATAAGAGTAAAATAAAAAAGATAAAAGAAAGATAAAATTAAGCAACAAAGAAAGAAAGAAAGAAAGAAAGAAAGAAAGAAAGAAAGTAGAAAGTAAACAACAGAAAGAAAGAAAGAAAGAAAGAAAGAAAGAAAGAAAGAAAGAAAGGGTGTGGAAAATAAAGAAAGGCAAGTAAATACTATAAGAGAAAAATAAAAAGATAAAAGAAAGTAGAGAAAAGTAAAGAAAGAAAGAAAGAAAGAAAGAAAGAATGAAAGAAAGAAAGAAAATCAATTATATGCGATACGATAAAAATAAAACAAAACAAAAGAAAGTAAAAAGGAAAGGAACGCAACTAAGAAAGAAAGAAAGAAAGAAAGAAAGAAAGAAAGAAAGAAAGAAAGAAAGAAAGAAAGATAGTGGTGAAATACAAAAGAATGATGGAAACCAAAAAAATTGAAAAAAAGGAGGACTAAAAGAAAAATGGGAACAGATAAATGTGTTGAAATAAGAAAGATAAAACGAAAATGAAAAATAAAAAAAAGAGAAAATGCAAATAACTATGAAAAAAGGAATTCCAAATATGCGTGGAAAGAAGAAAAAAGAGAGAAAAAAAATGAACGGACAAAAAGAATGAAAACCACAGATACACAGTAAATGGAATGAGATATAAAACAAAGAAATGGATAAAATGAAAGACACTATGAAAGAAAAAATAGCAAGCAAATAGGTGAGAGAAAAAAAAGAAAGAATGAAAGAAACTATGATATAAACAAAATAAAAATAGATAAAAACAGTAATGAAATATTCAGAAGAAGAAAGTAGGAAGGAAAGCAACTATTAAAAAAGAATGATCTTTTCGGGTCTTTCTCTTTTCCCATTTTTCTTCTTTCCGTCTTTTGCTGATCAAATCGAAGAAAAAGAGGCAATGAAGAATAAAGAGAACAACCCGAAGATATAACTTTTTTAAAAAAATCATTTCAATCCCCCCCACTCCCACCAAAGCAAGGCCACAAAGACACTAAAACTCTGTGGGTGGTTTACTGATTTTTGAAAGAATAGAAGAAAAAGAAAAAAAAACATTAAGGAGAGAGAACAATAAAAGAACAAGAATGAAGAATACAGACGATAACTAATTTTCAAAAAAAAGAAA